CACAAGATCGTCGAATCTGAATCACTTGAAAAAACAACGGGGGCACTTAACTTTTTTCCTAGGTGTATATATATATATATATTGCACAGTTCCTCACATTCACATGAGGAACATTGAACTGGAACAAACATTAAGACAACTAGTTTCAAATGTGAAAGATTGCTTCCATCATTGCAAAAGTTTCAGGAGACTGGCTCATCTATATTACCATTAATAATATGTCTTCTGTGTTCACAAAATCTCTTGACTTTATGACCTGTCTCACTAACATATATACATAAAGTTGCAAAAATCACAAATTATGTACTAAATGACAGGTGAAAGCATTTTCCACCTGTTGTTATTTATTTATAAAAGTTGTAATTTTTAGAGTTAAATTCATGACTTATGCAGCTAAATGTTTTGAGCTGTTGACAGTGAAGAATTAATGTTAGTGAAAAATTTTGAGGCTTTGTTTCTTTTAGAGCCAAGACACCCTTGCCTATCTGCTGTGTCCACTGCAAAGAATTAAACCACAGATTTTAGCATTGTAAGTCCAGAAACTTACTACCAGGGGACTTTAAGGGAGGCAGTCAGTAATGTTTGACTGTTTTGCAGTGCAGAAGTCATTTTGTAGAAATGTCTTCAGTCAGACAGACCATCTTTTTGAGAGATTCAAAATTTTAACTTAATAATTGTCTTCTGAAAGTTTAGACTAAATTATGATCTTTATTTGTTTTACTTATTCTCTGATACCAAATATTTCTAAAGAGAATAAAAGATGCAAGGATAAGCTTTTTTAACCCCTCAAAGCTGCTAAAAATCATTTTCAGGTGCCCCCCTTCCAGAGAGCTGCCATGGACCCACAAGAGGCCTAGGCAAGTTTCTGAAACCCCCAGAAATTTAGACCTCTTCAATCTTTACCTGGTCCTCTTTTGATTATAAGTTAGGGAGAGCCGTGCCCACAACAAAGGATATTCAATTTTTAAGAACACTGAAGCAGTGACATAGTAACTGAGAACTATGATAAACCAATACTGCCTATTAAAATGAAAAACAATTGATTTTTATTGAAAAAAATGAAAAATCAATCAGAATAAAATTGAAAAGTAGACCTTTTTTTTTTACTTCTAGGAGAAATTCAAAGACTATTTCCACAAAAATCATGCTTTTTGTGTTTTAATTCCATGACTTTTTAGGGTAAAACCCCAATTTATGAAACAACTGTTTTCCAGGACTTCCCTAATATTTACCTGAAACCTAACAGTAAAGCCAGAGAGAACCTTACCTATTTTATTTATTCTCCTTTCTAATGGTCCACTAATCAAAAAGTTTTCATCCTTGCATGACCTAATCTCTGTCCCCACCATCTCGGAGTTTGATGCAAGAATCTTCTGACTTTCCTCAACTAAGTTTACACCACCCATGGCAGCAACATCATTAAAATCATCATCTTCTCTACTAGGAAGAAAGGAAACTGTTTAAATAAACTGATGAGGCTTTAGTCTACAAGAAAGTCATTCAACTAAGGCTGAGGAGTTCTTCCACACTGTCACAGGCTTAATAATGCTTTTTTTTATTTATAATTTTTGTTTAATACATATTACTCTGTATACTTTATTCTTATAACTAATCAATATACAGGTAATTCTTTCTTCTCGTTACAAAAAATTTTGTTGGAAAGAAATGAAACACCAAGTCTATTCTGGAAATTGGCACCTGTCATTGAGTTCGATTAGTTTTGGAGAATTCCATCCATCGCCAGCAACTCTGGGTAAGTCAAACTGGAGAAAATGACCGGTCAATTTGCAGTAGTAAATTGATGGAAAGAGTAAAGGACAACATTCAATAATCAGTTTGAATATTTATGATACCAGCGATAGTCCAATATTTCTACGTATTAACAAGATGAGTGTAACTCCATCGGTGTGATGGTAATCTTTAAAATTTGCCACAAGTTCTTGATACAGATTTAGGGCCCAACATTAATCAGCACTGACCTTCATTTTTATCATGCTATACTCATTTCACCTAATATATATAAAATGCTTTCAAAAGTTGTTGTTTTAACTACAGAATTACATTAAATTTCTTAAATAATCTTCCTATTTTCCACTCGAATCAAAATACAACCAAGGGTAAGAGCTGTATTATTATTTATTGAAACTAGTTTGTTATAAGCAATATAAATGATACGGAGTACTAGCAACGTGCTGTTCATTCTTTCCAATCATTCAAGTTTCTATGTATGTTCGTCTGTAAACTAAACTCATTTGGCCATGTTAATTTTTTAACTAACTTCAAACAAAAAGTTTATAAACATTGTATTTCATAATATTATCTCCATCCATAGTTACTTTACTAGTTGTATTCCAGATCCAAAACAAATGCCCATTTTGTTGTTCACTTAAAATAACCAGCCTGGGTTGCCCCATCCCATGATATTAACTTTGTTTATTCCTGCTCCTAACAATTACTTGACCCTATTCATAAAATGTCCAAGAATCAATAAACAGACAACTTTGTATCTAAATTTCAAGGAATGTTTCTTCAGCATACTCTGATGCAAATAGAAATTGCACATTAATCGTTGTGTGTTATTTTTTTTATAGGTTAAGATAGGACACTTAACTTACCTAGTAACTAATAGCATATAGTGTATTATGAGGCTAAAACTTTGTCCACTGTCATCACACTACTTAGAAAACCACGAGTTTCCAGAAAATGGCACTATTTAAATACATCTCTGAAGAACTTTAAATGACTGTACCTCACAGCCGTTGCTGCTTTCTTGTCCTTAGCCAGGTTTCTTGCTTGAGAAGCAGCTTTTGACTGAAGAGTTCCCATTGTGGCAGTAGAGAAAACAACAGGACTACCTGAAGGTTTGGTTATGTTGGTTGAAACAAGAAGACTTTTAAATCTGGCCCCAGCATCCTGTTATACAGAAAATACCATCGTTGTGAGTTCTGTGAAAATATTCATGCCAGGTTAACCTAGTTACAAACAAGATCACCTCAACATTCTGCTCTACATAACTTTAAAGTAGTTATATCAAATTACGGCTGGTGCTTCAGTATTTTACTTTCAAAAAATCAAACATTTAAACCATACTAACTTATGCAGTTATTTCAAAACATATTAAATAATTTACAACAGCTAAACAACGGGAATTATTATTACATCAACAAACTTGTAGAGCCACCCACTATTACATCTTTTACCACATCATCAAAGAATAACATTAGTTACATTTCTCAAAAAAGAAAATCCTTACTGCTGACAATCTCTGCTGTATGATCCCAGCAGGTTGAGCCAACTGGGCACTAAGTGATCCCTGGGTCACGACCCTGATTTGTGCTGAAGGCTGGTTAACAAGAGTCTTGTTGGTGATCTATAAATATTCCATAAAAATCAAGTTAAATATTACCGAAATATTCAAACATACAAATACTAGATATCTAAGTTAGAGCTTTTACAACTAACTCTTTCCTTCTAACAAATACAAGGTGCCAAAATACCACTTATGAAAATCTACCAGCTGGATGTCACACAAAATTGTCTAACAATTTACGTGTAAAAATACATGTTAATAATAAGCTTTCCAACCTGATTACATGCAACTGTTGCTGATGATGTTGGCAGAATAAAAGCTGTGGCAGGAGGGGGACGTATTCCATCGATAACTGACTCTCCTGTTACCAGGGAATGACGGAGGTGAGGAAGGCTTTTCTGTAGACAATTATGAATATAAAACACTTGTTTCCCAGCAGTTGTGTCAATAAGCAATAAAGCGACAGAGAATAAAAAAACTTTTTTGCTTTGATCATCACTCATGATTTATTCCAACTGCCTCTACCTCATAGCAGAAAGTACAGTTGTAACATAAACTACTGCTACCATTACTCTTTTAAGTTATGTCAAGATTTCATCTGAATATTCATGCTATTGTTTAAGATATATACCAAAAACCATACACTGAAAAAAAAAACCCTCTCTTTAAGTCTAACTTTTAGTTTTAGTCCATTCCAATAAGAGAAACAATTACCACGGTATGTCACATCTAATAATTAAATCTGAGATAGATGTTAATCAAAGCTTATCTAAAGCAGTGTATTCATACAAAAAATTGTTTTTCTCTCTTTGCATCACCCGAGTTGGAGATTTACGAGGCAAGCAATTATATACCGCCAGTAAATCCCGTAAGACTTATAACAAAACTATTTCTTACATTAACTGTTTCCAATTTTTTGCCTATCCTAAATTAAATTCTTAATATTCAACATTTTAGAGTACTGATACTAGAAAACAATATACAAAAAAATGTTTAATTACGATTGTTCACCATACTACCATCACCAATAAAACATAACTCACATATTACTCCATGTAGAGAAGATTTTTTTAAGTATCAACTAGTGCATAACATTAGTCTCTACTAACAAAATGATAATATAAGGATCACAGAACACCATTAAGGTCTAGGGTTTATACCTACATGACAAAATATAATTAACGATACTAATTCTACTTCAACTATTTTTTAACTCGGTTCTATAACATTTATTTAGTGCAATTTGCAAAGACAAATCAAACAAAAATAATTTCTTGACTTTCACTTCTGCACAACTCTGAAGAGTGTTGGATGTAAACAATGCAATGATTGATTGTTTTAGAACATTCCCCAAAACATAGATTTATGTTTGATAAGAAACTATCATCCTTTGATATTATAATTATCCTTGTCTTGTTTCTCGAGTTATTTTACTTCTTATTTAATAGTTCTATTAGTACAGCCGTTTGTTCCCACCCTTTTATGATGTCACACCATGTGATTTGAACAATGACTAATGAAGAACAACTATAGCAAACATTTAAATGTGATTGGATAGAACAGATTCTATACTATTTACATTAACTTAAGAGTAAATAAAAGCAAATGTATGGTTTTGTGGAAAAGTAACTACCCAGAGGTTCTATAGGGCTGTAGAGATGAACAGAGGGAACTAATGGGAAATTGAAAAGACTTGAAGAAATAAAACACAGATTTGGGAATTTTTTTCTAGTTTTTTTTTTTCTGATGTTTTTTCAATTCCTGATAATGTATTTGTGTTCATATATCTGTTTGAAATCGATTTTCTTCTATGACAAGTTATCACATAAATTTAGTTAGGTTTAGAAAGTATGATAGACGATAGCAAAATATTCCTGTAATTCAAATCCTTATTTATTGAATATTATTCTACAGTTTACCATATTCAAACAATCACACAGATAAAAGAACATATTTTTTACTCAAAATAATATTTCTTTTTTACTATGCACAAAACTGCACGATGGGGTATCTGTGCTGTGCCCATAATGGGTATTGAAACTTGGTTTTTAGTGTTATAAGCCTTGAAACTTACTGCTGACCCACTGGAGGTCAATTGAAGAGAAAGTTTATTAGAAATAAACTGATCTCAACTAAGACTACTATTAGCAAAAATACTGTACCTAGCCCGAAAAATTTAATAATGAAGCCATTTGGAAAAGTCAGGTCCTAGGTCACCGGTCAGTTTTTTTTTTTCTTATTCATAACTGGTAGTGGTGATTACTGATATTGGGAATTTCAAATTTAAATTTTAAGGCAAAAGGAAATACTTTCATTTCTTTTTCAAAACAGTGTCTCACAACAAAATTTGGGAAATTTTCAAACCTAAAATTTGTAAGGGCCTCGTTTACAGGAATATGCATTGAAACTGGACAGAGATCTAAGTTCATACATTTAAAAACAAGTCTTTGCAAATTACATTAAATAAATGTTACAAAATATTCATCTTTAGATATTTTTTATTCAAACAATTGAGAAATAGTTAAATTACTATTTTTACTTAAATAGTGAAATAATTTGACACAAGTGCCCTCTCGACCCCAGAAAGCTGCCCAATGACCTGTAATAAAAGGATATCTCTTAACTTCTTAGATAATGAGTAGAATAAAAGTAATCTCTACTAACTTGAGAATAGTATTTTTTCTTGACTTTAATTTCCTTAATATATATATATATATATATATCTAAGCAACCGTAGTAATCTATGTTTTCAGGAGATAATGTTTCTCCAGTGCTGATTCTGTACCTTAAGAAATGGTACAAGACAAGGCTGTGGTGATGAATTAAGCTCTTTTTGGAGTTGGTGCGTGAAGTCCTCGGCTTGTACTTGTCCGTTCTGTTGAAGAACATTTCAAGATGTTCTTATTTACATCTATATATCTACTACACACTTCTTTATTTTTACTTAAATCTTTTTAAACAAAAAAAAACAAATATGGACTTTGCATTTAAAACACAAAATAAAATAAAATAATTGTTTTACTTCAATATGACTTGTTCATGTAACTCGTTATATTTTGTAGTTCAACCATAACAAATACTTTAATAATCTCAAATAAATGTTCTCCATAAAAAATGAAATAAAATATCCAACATGAAAAGTTTGAAACTAGGCGAAGAATTTTATGTCTGCCCATCAAATTAAAGTTCTTACAATTTTACAATGATTATTATAACAAAAAAAAGTTTAAGACCCACCAACTGTGAATAACATTCCAAATGCAACACTTCACAAAACAATGCTACTACTGTACTGAAAAGGCCTTTCCTCAACCAAAAAAAATCCAAACTGTGATATCAAAATAATAAAATCTTTACAGAACCACAAGAAGAAATATGATACCAGTGCAATGGAAGGAACATTCCAGGTGGCAGAAGAAAAAATATAGATATCAGTATATTTCAAAGAATCATTTCAAAAGTAGGGAGCCCAATTAAATTCTCTAAGAATAGCATCACATATACTACAAAAAAAGTCACTACACACACATTTAAAATTGAATATCACATAATTTGAATACTACTATTTTGTAACATGAGTAAATGAGTTGATGTGAGTGATGCATTGTAAGAGTTTGTCAAAAAGCATCTAAACTGCAGTTCATAAAAAGAGAATATGAATCACAAAAAGTGTCAGTGAATACAAAAACAAACAAACAATATACAGAGAGCAGTAACAAACTTAACAATATCTTAACATACAAACAATATACAGAGAGCAGTAACAAACTTAACAATATACAGAGAGCAGTAACAAACTTAACAATATACAGAGAGCAGTAACAAACTTAACAATATCTTAACATACAAACAATATACAGAGAGCAGTAACAAACTTAACAATATCGTAACATACAAACAATATACAGAGAGCAGTAACAAACTTAACA